ATCTGTCGCATTCTGAATATCCCTTAATCGAACTTTTCTTTCTACATGCTCCCAAAGGTGTTCAATTGGGTTTAAGTCTAGCGACTGAGAAGGCCATTCCAAAACATCCACGTTTGCCTCCACAAACCAATTTTTTACCAATCGTGAGGCGTGTTTGGGATCATTGTCCTGCCGGAATCTCCATATTAGGGGCATCTCTTCTTCGGCAAATGGTAACATGTTATTTTGCAGAATGTCCCTGTACATAAAGCGATCCATTTTCCCTCTATTTTTATTAGAGGACCAACCCCAGCTCGAGAAAAGCACCCCCAGATCATAACACTACCATAACCATGCCTTACTGTTGGCTTCTGGTACTTTGCATCATATCTTTTACCTACTGGCCTTCTCACAAATGATCTACCATCAGAACCAAATATTTTAAATTTGCTCTCATCACTCCAGAGCACTGTGTTCCAATTTTGAGATGTCCAATTTAAATGGTTTTGAGCAAACCGAATTCTGTTCTTCCGATTTCTTTTTGAGAGCAAGGGTTTTTTAACGGCCACTCTTCCTAGAAGTCCTACCTTACACAAGCGTGCGATCAGTAACATTGATATTGAAATTGTCACAGATTTCCTCTTTTATTTGCCGGGAAGATTTGTGTGGGTCTGCTAGAGAAATCTTTTTAATGGATTTTTCTATAAAAGGGGTGGTTTTTCGGGGACGCCCCGATTTTGGCCGGTTAGTTGTAGCTCCCAATGTTCGATACTTTTTTAAAATTTTCGAAACCGCTCCTTCTGAAATCATTAATGATTTGGCAATTGTACACTATTTAACACCTCTATTTTTTAACTCTATAACTCTGTTGCGTAAGTCCTCAGACAAATACTTATTTTTATCCATTTTTAACAATATGTTGCTTGCCTTTGCAATAAAATCAAACTAAACAAATCGATCACAACAGCAAAAATATGAACAAGAAAAAGCTTTCCATACTTTTGTCCGAAGCGTAAACAAAATATGTTGGTAAAAATAAACAATGTAGATAGAATAAAAAATTATCTTGTGAATATTTGATATATTTATGCGGTTGTTAGCATACGAAAAAATTTATGCTGTATTATTTGTTTGAGCGAGATAAAATAGGAAATAAAAAATCTTTCCATACTTTTGTCCGCCACTGTATGTCAAAATCTTTTTCAACGTTTTGAACCTACATAACATTTTAGTCATATACATCTTTTTTTTATAAAATCCGAAAATCAATTAATGTGCTTTTTTATTTTTTTCAGATAAAAAACGAGATTTGGTATGTTAGTATATGACATAAATTAGTATTGATTGGCGTATTCAGTTGTTTTCGATCACTTCCTGTTTCACCGGAAATGACTACAACTTTTAATTTTTAAATGGCACTCTCGGTTTTTTTTTACTTTATTCGATAGAAAATGACACTCTCAATAGAATGAAATATCATATGTCAAGTTTTGACATTCTAGCTTAAAAAATAATGGTATTTTAAATTGCAATCTAGAATGCTATAGCTGTGTTAAAAACATTAAGTTTTATTCAAGGAGCTTGGAAAAATATATTTGATCGTCTAATGTTATTCGTGTCTTGCCCTGACCGGTTAAAAAATGCAGAAATCGTATATTTTTAATCATATCTGAATTTTTTTAAATGGAACGAGGGTGGCTCGTTAGCATATTTGGAAAATGCGTTTTTTACGAATAATTTGGTACCACACACTTGTTATTTCGAGTCAAAATATCGTTATGAACCGCATGTTACAATTTCAAATAAACCATATGCGAAAATGTCAAAAGATGACATGTGATACGTCATTCTACTCTGAGAGTAATTTTCTATCGAATAATGTGAAAAAATATTGAGGGTGCCATTTAAAAATCAAACGTTGTAATCACTTCCGGTGAAACAGGACGTGCGACCGAAAACAATAATTGAATACCGTCAATGGATCCTAATTTATGTCATATACTATCATACCAAATCTCGTTTTTTATCTAAAACAATCAAAAAGTTAGTGTTCCATTAGAAAAAAACTCACAAAAAACACATCTTTTATGCATGACTTTTTTTGGGAACGCCCTGTAGAACTATAAAATATTTTCAATTAACCTACACATTGCATCCAAAATTTCATTTAAAAAAAACTATCGATTCTTAGAACTTCCGCGTCGTATGAGAGGCACTACCCTGTTTGTGTATCTAGATGGGGTTTAGCATTAAATCCAGAAATCTTAATGTTAAAAAATCATATATTTCATGTTATGAGGCTTTAATTCTGATATTTATTCTCTTAACAATAAAAATATTATTTGCAAAAAATTTGTCCCAAACGGAAATATAGGAGCGTATCCTCCAGGGACCTTCACCGCCCTTACGAACACCTCGCACCCGATGCTGCTGCTCTCTTTTTACCACCAGATGTTGCTCATTACTCCGAGGCGCACAATAAAACCGTCGCTTTGTGTACGGTAATGTGGCGGTAAATTGTCTGTCTTGTTTGGCTATTTATTATATTATCTGTTGGTTTTTGTTCGTTCGGGGTCCATCGCCGCCAGTGATTTATGGAATAGCTGGCAACGTGTGTTTGTTTTAGTGCATGCGGGATGCGGAGGGTCAGGAGGTGTGGTTGTATGTATCATATCGGAAGCCCCTTCTATTGATTAGGGTAGTTTCTAGAAATGGGATATTTGTATACCTACACACAGTCACCTAAAAAATGGTTATTGCGATTTTTTACATAGTTTTTTGCTGGGAAATGAACTATTACGACAGAATAATACTAAAAGTCTTAGGATTGTGCACCTTGAATTTCCTTCTAACCCAGTGCTGCTCCCATTTTTTCGGCTATATACAGGGTGGCGCCTATACGCGGAGGCTTCAAGGAGAACGACAGTTTGTATTAAAATGATATTTTGTGAGCAAATGTAGATTTAAAGTACTTTTTTAAAAATATAGAGTTCTACAGGATGTTCCCAAAAAAAGTTACACATCAAAGTTATACCGGGTGCGTCTCAAAAGTGGCTCACACTATAACTTTTCCATTTTATTCAGATAAAAAAACGAGATTTGATATGTTAGTATATGACATAAATTAGGATTGATTGAAGTATTCAATTATTTTTGGCCACTTCCTGTTTCACCGGAAATGACTACAACTTTTGATTTTTAAATAGCATCCTCGGTATATTTCTACTTTAGTGAATAGAAAATGACACTCTGAATAGATGACATATAATATGTCAACTTTCGACATTTTCGCATATGGTTTATTTGAAATTGTAGGTAACATGCGGTTCATAACAATTTGACTGAAAATACTAATTTTTTTCCAAATATGCTAATGAGCCACCCTTGTTCCATTTGAAAAAAATTGAGATATGGTTAAAAATACGATTTGGGCATCTTTTAACCGGCCAGCACAAGACACGAAAAACATTAGATGATTAACACTATTTTTCGAAGGCTCCTTAATTAAAAATTACTGTTTTTGATATAGCCATGGCACTCTGGATTGAAATTTAGAATACGATTTTTTAAGCGAAAATGTCAAAAGTTGACATATGATATGTCATTCTATTCAGAGTGTCATTTTCTATCGAATAAAGTAGAAATATTCCGAAGGTGCCATTTAAAAATCAAAAATTGTAGTCATTTTTGGTAAAACAGGAAGTGACAACTGAATTGAATACGCCAATCAATCCTAATTTATGTCATATAAAAGTTTTTTTTATCTGAAAAAATAAAAAAGTTATAGGGGTGAGCCACTTTCGAGACGCACCCGGTATTGAAATTATAAATTTACAAGGTTTTTACGTAAAAATGGTCTCTTGGTAAAAATCGCTACGAGTAATAATTCTCGAGATATTTGGAACCGAAATTATTAATACCTAATATTTCACGGTAGACTTGATAAGCAAGGACAGAAAGACAGTCAAAGCTGTAGTAGGTCTACTAACAGGGCATTGTAAGCTAAATAGGCATCTAAAGCTGATGGGATTGACAGACGAAGCTATGTGTAGGTTCTGTCAATCTGAAGAAGAAACGTCAGAACATATTTTATGTCGGTGTGACAGCCTGGCAAATGTGCGGTTCCCGGTAATAGGCAATGATAGGCCATTGCCAAGGAGCTACATGGAGGGTTCAGTCTCCAAGTTGCTAAACTTTGTAAAAAGGATAGGACTGGAGAATGTAATCTAAGGATCAGAAGAGGACCACAATAGATCTGAGAAGGTCGCAGTGGATCAGGCCGAAAGCCACCTCTAAGAATCTAATCTAATACCTAATATCATTGACATAAATTAAACATGATGACTAAATAGTTATGAGATTAAAACCACAAATTTTAAATGTTTTTGTGTCAAAAGTTCAACACAGACTGTTTTATCATAATTATTTCGCAGAAAAATTTATGAATAATTTAAAAAACTAAACATTTCCCAAATTTATTATTTCAGTCAAATAACTATCTACTTAACGTGTTTATTTTTTTGTCAATAATGATATGTATTGACTATTTCCATTCTAAAATGTCTTGAGAACGGTTGCTCGTAGCGACATTTTTTACCTAGAAAGTCACGGAAATGTATATTCTTTCACTCAGTAGTTTTATACAGGTGCGGACGAAAAGTTATTGACATGACAATTAAATTTATTATGTCAAAAAACTCCCAGACACCAATTTTCATACAAATATTGACGTTACTTCAGAAATTATTTGATAAAAATTAAAATGAAACTTCTACACTCTGTATCTCCGAAACTAAGCATTTTAGGTTTTAGGACATAATACATTTATACGAACTATTTTACTTATTTTTATATATTCACAATATACTGCCGAAATTTCCGGAATGCAGTTCGGACCACCTTGTATATAGAAAATACTTGAATCGAAATATAAACAAAAGAATAGAGAACACGTGATAATAACTGTCAAATCGATTTTTCTACACTACAAAATTGACAAAAAAATGTCACTCTACTTCACTGTCAGGTGGTACGAAGATAGCTTTTTATCAGCTAGTTAAAAAAAGAATTAATAGATTTTTAATCAGAGGTGAACGTACAAGCACCGCCAGACCTATTTGAAACTAATCTACAACGAACTTTAGGAAAATCTGAAATCCGTCGATGTTTGAAGCGCATCGAGCAATTTCACATCAAGCCGAAAGTATTTAAACGGAATCAGTCCTGGAAGGCCCTAAAGCCAGTCTAAAACCCGTCAAATTACTTACTCTATCCCACGGCGTTCCGACGCTTAAGCTCGAGATGGAACGTCGAAGTTCCTGCCTGATCCGGACTACTGCAGGAATATACAGGGTGACCTAGTTTCTTAAAAAAGTTCTATTCGTTTATTTTACTGTTTCAAGCTTCATTCAAAACCTCGCAGTTAGTGGTATAAATTAATGGTTTTTAATTAAGCTTCATTCAGAACCCCGCAATTAGTGGAATAAATTGAATAAGTGGTTTCAATTACACTTTATACTTTTTAGTTTACGATCGTTCACACTGTTTAAAAAACACAATTAAAATTAATAGAATATTCTAGCATCAGCTTGCGTTAGTCAGATGTATCCATAGAGAAAGCCTAATATTTAGCTTATAAAACAATCAACTTTTCATTTCTAACCACAACTTCTCTTGACGAAAGATAATCAAAGGCTAAAATGACATTTGTCGCAACATTTGAAGTATAATTAGTGGAAAAGTCAAAAGTTTGTTAACTTTTTCTATACTAATTGAAAATGTCTACCACTAATTTTGACGTTCTGAATGCTTACATTGAAATTGAATTAACGCTAATTGAAACCACTAATTTATTCCAATAATTGCGAGGTTCTGAATGAAGCTTTATACTTTATACTTTTTAGTTTACGATAATTCACAAAACACAATTAAAATTAATAGAAAATCCTAGCAACAGTTTGGGTTAGTCAGTTATATCCATACAGAAAGCCTAATATTTAGCTTCTAAAATAATGAACTTTTGATTTCTAACGTGTTTCTAACCACCATTTCTCTTGACGTAAGATAATAATCGAAGGCCAAAATGACATTTCTCGCAAATTTTAAAGTATAATTAGTGGAAAAGTTAAAAAGTTCTCTAGTGTCTACCATTGAAAATCTTTACATTGAAATTAAAGGAGCAAATTTCTACACAAATTGAAACCACTAATTTATTCCACTAATTGCGAGGTTCTGAATGAAGGTTAAGATTTTTGTTGTAATATTTTCGAAAATATGCAGGCAATGGTAGCGCATCTTCTAAAAGCATTTTCATAGATATACAGGATGATTCAAGTAGGGGAATTTCGCTTAAAATGACATATGCGGGTAAAATGACATACAGCCCAAATTCAAATTTCCCGCGATACTATTGGTGTTGTTCTATCTCTACTTCTTCCTCACATGTGCGTCACGTGACATACTTAATACGGGATGTCAATCAGTTGTCTTGTAGCTTTTAGACGAGTATATGTGTTTTGAGTCAGAAGCAGTTTTTTAGTACGAGTTTCGTTTTTTCGTATTTTCAAGTTAATCGTAATTTTTTTGGAAGTTATTACAAGGCAGGTAAGTTCCATCCGTTATCTTGAATTTCCAATGCTAATGAATCTAATAATTATATTTTGTAAAAAGTTAGAACAATTAAATGCTGCCAATGTATTTATGGGTAATATGACATAGGGCTTATCAGTTTAAAATGACATAGTATGTCATTTTAAGCTTAATTTTTTGTTATTTCCAGAGATGGTGGGAAACTGCTCACGAAAGTCAGATAGACAGCAATGGAGTCAAAATGACATGAAAGAAGCGATTCAGTCCATCGAACGAGGGGAGATGGGTTGGCTAGCTCCAGCCAAAAGAGAGATATTTAATGTCCCTCAAGCCACTTTGAGACGTAGGTGCCGGAATGTAAATAAACGTATCAGACGGATCAGATAAAGGTCTTGGAAGATGGAGCACTACTTTTCCGCCTGAAAAGGAAAGAGAATTAGTGAATTACATAAAAAAAAGTCGAAGAACAATTTTACGGTTTAACAACTACTGAACTCCGTTATTTAGCTTATGAATTTGCAGAGCAGAATCATTTACACCGTTTCAATAAAGAGAATAAAATGGCTGGATGGGATTGGTTTTATGGGTTCCGGAAGAGAAATTCTGACATATAGCTTAGACAGCCGGAAACTACGTCAGTAGCCCGGGCTTCGGCGTTTAACAGAGTGCAAGTAAAAAAGTTCTTTGACATTTTAGAAAATATAATAAGGGATAATGAAATTTCACCAGAAAGAATATATAATATGGATGAGTCAGGACTATCAACGGTGCAAAGACCATATAAAATTTTTGCCACGAAAGGACGGAAACAGGTTGGAACAATCACCAGAGCGTGGTGCTCATACAACTGTTGTGTGTTGTATGAACACAATAGGCTCATTCATTCCCCCCGCAATGATATTTGCAAGAAAAAAATCAAAGCCAGAGTTGACGGATCATGCACCCACCGGGACTCTTCAACTATGTCAAGAATCCGGCTGGATGACTGGAATGTTATTTGAAAAATGGTTATCGCACTTCGTAAAATATTCCAATGCATTCGTGGATAGAAAAGTTCTGCTAATCCTTGATGGTCATTCTAGCCATAAATATCTACCAGCTCTAGAATATGCGAAGAGACATGGTGTTGTTTTGCTATGCACACCACCTCACTGTACTGACCGTATCCAGTCTTTAGACGTAAGTTTTTTTGGACCTTTATCAAACTACTATAATCAAGCAATTACCAAATGGATGAAGGCAAATCCGGCCAGAACAGTGACGGCGTTTCAAGTTGGGCAACTATTTTCGGAAGCCTATGAAAAAGCGGCTGTTATGGGCAATGCAGTTAGTGGCTTTAAAACCACCGGCATTTACACTCCAAATCCAGACATTTTTCCGGAATGGATGTTTTCTTCTTCTGATGTCACGAACCTGGTCTTAGAAGAACCATCAGATCAAACTGATCTCACTGAACCTGGATGTTCAGGTTTGCAAAATCAAATAGAAAAGCATCCATTAGAAATGGATACTTTTCAACAATCGACAAACTCAGAACAAGAAACAGAATACCAGATAGTAAGGCTGAAGAGATAAAGCCCACTCCAAAAGCCGTGAAAATAAAAAACAAAAGAAAGAAGTCAAGGTCCGTTGGTTTTAACATCAACACCAAATTTAGATGAATTAAAAGAGAAGGCAGAAAAACAAAAAATACCGACGAAAAAATTTAGGTCTAAGAAACAAAAAGTGTCGCTCGATATGATGAATCGTTTTCAAGATACAGAAAATAAACAAAATCACGATCCTTTTTCCACTACTAGCGACGACAACGATGAGGTTGCTTGCATCTACTGCAATGACCTTTATTCGCGATCCAAACCTATGGAAATGTGGGTAAAATGCTAGTCATGCATGAAATGGTCTCACATTGAAGCGCCGGAATAGATCCAAAAGCTAAGATGTTTACTTGTGATATATGTGTTTGATCTTCAACATAGTAGTCGATGTATGTGATAAAAATGAGTTTATTTTAGCAGTGTTTACTCCTATGTCATTTTATCCGAGTATAAATGCCTAAAATGACATAGAGTATATTAGGTTAAGATTATTAATTTAAATATGTTTGTATTTGTTTAAGTCAGTAACTGTTCCTATACTAACTTGATAAATGTTCCTATGTTATTTATTCCTATTCTGGTTGTTGTCGTTTGTGAAATAAAAAAGTTATAGAGTTTATTCTAAAAAGTATGTAATTTTAGGCGAAATTCCCCTAGGTATATCTTTTGCATTAAAGTTTTCTTTTTTTTATACGAAATACTGTAGAGATACATTTTTTTTCTCAAAAGATTTTTTTAATTTACATTCCAAACATTCAATAATACATCATCATCATCATCACTTATTCAATCATTTTCAATTATGGTGTAGCCTCTCTCACATATTTAGATACTCTCTTTATAGCTAGTTGGGGCGGATTAATTGTTGTCTATTGTTGGCTATGCGGGCCCAAGTTATCCCTGCTAATTTCCTAATATCATGGTCCCATGTCAGGTTCGGTCTTCTTCTAGGTCTCTTAATTCCACGTGGTTACCGTGCTGTAATTTTTGTGGTCCATCTGTGGTCCGTTCTTCTTGCCAGGTGTCCTGTCCATTACCATTTGAGGGATTTGACTTTGTGGATGACATCTATTATCTGAGTCTTTTGTCGTATCCACTCTATAATCCATAATACATATCATAATTTATATCAAGTGATTCTTGAAATTTGAAATACATACAGGCTGGGTTTTCTACGGGTGTTTTGGAAATTACTGATGGAGCTATAGAGTCGGTTAAATGGGGAAAGAATTGCAGTTTTGTGAGGACAAACATATGCGCCTTTCGGATTTTTGAAAAAGTTTATAGCGTACTAGATATTTCGAAAAAAAATCGGCTATTTTAAAAATACTCCCTAATACCGTTATATTATATGTTAGACCAAAAGTTTTTAGATAAAAGTTGTAGATAATCACATCCTTAATGAGTAATGAGATTGTGTTCTTCGTTTTTTTTCTAAAGCCTGTCATTTTTGAAATATGACACAATTTTGTGTTTTTTTAAATGGAAACTATAGTTGGCCATGACTTCATAAAAAGCCCAATTTTTTAAGCTTTTCAGTGATGTAAGCTATAATATGTTTTTTTTCGAAAATTTACTGAATTATAGCCAATTCTTATATTTTTAAACAGTTGTACTGAGTTAGCCATGGAAGTTCAGTCGTTGTTGCTCTCAGAGATGTCAAATCAGAGATTAAACTGTCACCATAGTTAAAGGAAAGTTTCGATTGGAATGCTCGGTTTTCCGCCAAAACTTATAATTGTTTTGGAGCGCATACGTTGTAGGGCGCTGCTATAGCGGTTGCTAAAAACAACCACCGAACAAGAACAGAAATAATTTTCTCTTCTCAAAGTCAGAATCTTCAAAAATTTTAAAATCTTTCGAAATTTAAATCACCCTCATTGAAAAAATGTCGAAGTAAGTATTGCTAACTTGTGAGCTTAATTAAAATTTTATTTACTCAAACCCGTGATAATTGTGAAAAAGTGGCATTAAAAACTTAAAAAGCTATGTGAACTGTGAACTGCAAAAACAATTGTGGATCGTGGCATAACGTCGGTTTCTAATGTTTCATATAGGTAATTCAGACATGTCCTTATATAAAATAAAGTTTTTTCTTAGCGATGGGAACTATCGAATGAATTAGATTATCGAATGGTTACTGAATGAATGATTTCAACTATCGAATGG